TGAAGTAAGGTAGATTAATAAGGTCAGCTGATCCTACTATTCTACTGTACTTCGAAATTGGGGCCAAACAATAGGCGCTAAAGTCGTCGGAATAGGTATGGGTTTCGTCGCGCAGTTTGCCGCGCGCACCCTCGGACGCACGACTTGACCGTCCCCCCGACGAGAAGCATGTTGCTGGGCCATCGCACTCTTACCCAGTATCTCAAGCGAAGCTCCATCTACTACATATTAGGGCCTAACATACACTCCACGCAAAGTTCAGCACAACAATGGTCACCTTTTTTGCTGCGCCCATGGGAGCCGCTAACTTACCTCGTTCCTAGTCAGTATATGTACTAAATTAAACAATCTTTTCATTACGCTTTATTTCACAACATATCATTGTAATAAAATTTCAAGCATTCATTATGCAACAGTTATTTGGCTATAGATGCAAAGGATGATTGGACGTTAAGACTAGCAGACCCTAGTTTAATATTTATGTAAGGCATTACGTAGTGAGCGTTTTTTGAAAATCAGAAGAAGAAAAGAAACCAAGAAGACGATAAAATATGTTTTGAACAACAAAAAATGACTATTTCTGCTTAGAAAGGCTTCAGCATTATTATAAAGCATGTGAAAAGAATTGTGAGAATGACAGAGCAAGAAAGTGAACAAGAACCTTGTTATGGATATCAAAAGATATAGCACGAGAAGAAAAGCTATGGCTTTCCGGGTTACAGCCAAAATTTTGCAGCTCATGGATGATTTACCAGAAACAATTCAATGTGATAGAACACGGCTAATGAAGTGTCAACATTTCTACGTTCTTCTTACTTTAACTATTTCAATCGGGATTTTATCTCAGGACGCATTTTAAGAGCCTCTTGAACGATGTTAAACCCTTCCAATCACTAAACAAGATGAAAACTGTAAACATTCTGTAAACAAAGCCGGAACTACTGCGGTTTTTGAAGTTTTGTGACGGAAGAAAGCCAACAAATCACGCATTATTTGACAACTGCCTAACGGCAAGTGGAAATGCTGGAAAAATAAATCCATGGAACAATATTCATATACTTTGCAATGATCGTGACGGCACAATCCGTTGGGTTACGGACCCAAACACATCACGCAGCGACTCTGTCCATCCCTGCAATAAAATAGGTACACTCAATAAGAAATCAGTTCAAAGAGTGAGGGTAAGAGCTAAGAGCATTTCTGATAGAGTCCAAACAAACTGCACTAAATTACCGACGCTTAAATGCAGTATGAGGGGGTATACAGTCAGTATAAAGTATAGGACGCCACATTTGTAAGCGTAACTTCGAACATATAGGACAGGTATACAAATCTACTACATCGAGGATTAGAGTAGGCCGCATGATCATTTAGGAGAGGAGGCGTTCGAAATTTGGTCCTTTCGCTCTTGCACAAGCGTCTTGTCGTTCGATAACAAAACAGTAGCGCGCCGCACGTTCTCCACGTCGATATTGTCTTCCGCGTCCTGAAGCACGCCAGAGCCTCCAACGAGCGGTACGAGCGTCCTGTGAACTCGCCCTTCAAAAGCTCCCAAAGTGAAATCCATTAGATTGAGATCTGGCGAAGAGGGAGGTCTTTTCTCCAGTGCCCGGAAAAGTGCGCAGCGGGCACGGCTTCTGCCGATTTTGAGGCAAGCGAAGGAGATCAATCTTTTAAGAGTGAGCGATCGGTCACTAAAGTGGTCACTAACCCAGATCAAGAGGGCGTCCATCAAAAGTACCTTTTGGTAAAACTCGGAGTCGATTTTTATATTTCTGTCAATGAAGATTAATATTTTTTGCATTTTGATGTCACCCCAGCTCAAATTATCACACTATCGCGAGAGGGTCGGCTACGCGAGAGACGATGTTTTGGGAACAGGTGTCAGCCTTCGCCAATAACTGCTTCTGGTTTTGACAGTTTGAAAAGGTCCTACTGTGGAAATTTTCTCATCACTCCACATCACGTCAGAAATGCGGCGCGCCATGAGCTCTCGAAGAAGTTTTTTGCACTTCATCAGCTGACTTTGTTGGAACTGCTCCGAAATAAATGTCCGACAGAGCCGATAACTGTTCAGTTTGAAGTCGCAATTTTTTCCCAATTTTCTGGACTATTTGACGGCTGATGTTGAGGTCAGAAGCAATCCGATCCACGCCGACGCCATCGTTGCGGGTGATCCTCTTCCTAATGATGGCACGAACCCTCGGTGTGCTCGCTGTTCTCGGTCGTTCCTTTTTTGGCATCTCAGAGGCTCGTCCTCGGGACCTGAGAACAGCAGAGACGTTTCGAAATGTTGAAGAGGGAAGGAAGAGTCGTTTCGCAACGTCTTAACTCTTGAAACATTCTCTAAGCTTCTCGATGATGGGTCGATGCGCACAAACTTCCATAGCGATGGTTCAGACGGACGGTCAACCAAATGAATTATAAAGATTCTTGCACAGCTTCTGTGCTTTCAAAAAGTCTCAAAAGGATTTCAAAGTATCCATTGGCAAAACTCCGACAATCGCCGAACGGAGCGTCCTATACTTTTCAGCCACCCTCTAGAAGGGCAGGTCTTGAAGAACTATGATTATGAATATGTATTCCCTGAAATGTAGGTTGGGACTTGGTGAAATTTAGAAAGTAATCCAAGAAAGATCCACAAGTCGTGGGAAAGATGGGTAAGGAAAATAATAAATACACCCTAAGTAGTCGAAAAAATTACTACCTTGTAAATTAGCATGACGTTAAAGCGAAAAAAAGGAGACTGAACTCGTATTGAGCCAGCAAATAGATTACCCAACTAAGAGAGGACCGTAAATTAAGCAAATAAAATTATGATCCATTGTTGGCAAAATCCCGAATGACGCCTCACCTATTTTTACCAAACCTTAAATGAGCTAGTCACCCTAGACCCGTGAAAGACTATCATACATATAATCCGGGATTTAGTGCAGCTAGATTGGACGTGGCATCGGATAAATAAACTATAGCTACGGTTAGTACGATCACACGGAAAGTAAGATAGAAGAATAGATTGTAATTCCGGAAACCTTGCCGATTGAAGGAGCATCGTGATTGGTGATATTTTGCGGTACACGCCCAGCATGGGCATCTAGTACTTTTTGGTATCGTAACTTGCATGCAGCTTCAATCGTTTTCGCCATTGCGGCTGCAGATGGTTCTACATGGAATACGTAGCACATGAAATTCTCCGACGATGTGTGCATGATGAAAGCACAATGCCTGAAAAAAGTCGATCAAAATTAACATTGACTTGGTTTACCACGAACTACATAGGAATCATGAAGATATTTTGTGCCATAACCATCACAACACTGTAACGTCCAATCTAAAAAACATTTCAGTACACACTATCCCCCACAAATGTCAAGATAACGAAGGGTGCGGCGGTGCTGGGGGAATCATGACCTCATGCCGTGGAACGTGTTCCAGATTGGTGAGGCATTTGTAGAAACGACTGGGAAGTTATGGGAAGCTGGAGTCAAGGGGTAATGCATGGTTTTTACGACAGTGACTGTTGACTTGAGAGAAAGTTTGCAAGTTAACTGAATAGTGAGAAATAGGAAAGAAGTATTCGCGACAAGCCTGAAAAGTTAGAGTCTCCCGTCTATGGAATGCGCTTCGTATTCAACTTCCATTTAAATCACGATGTCGTTTGGATGGCCTCTACGATGACTCGCGGTGGCCAGCCTATGTATGAGTCAGTGCTTTAGCCCACCTGGACGAGTCTGGCACCAATCGACCACAAAGGAATGGAAGCTTGGTTGATTATGGTGATTCGATTCGAGTTTCGACCCCTGACCCCTGATTATGTCTGTACGACAAAGCGCTGCACCACATCCACCCTATCCACAACAAGTAAACGAGAAAATGATTGTTACCTAAGTGGAGCTAGCATTACTACCAACACGAGCATTCGCATTCACATGCAAGAATTAGGGGAGCATTTCAATGTAAACAGTCGACTATAAAAAAATGGTCATGATTGGGTCGTCAATTTCAAACTGTGTTTGACTAATCTTAAAAAAATAAAAAATAAATAAAAAACATCCAAAAAACATGCTAAAAAACTATGACTCTGAAACTTTGTAGGCACTCACGAAGTCTGATGGTCTATATGGCAGTAAAAAAAGTTAAGCTCACTTCACATCACGTCCAATTCCTAGGAATGAAAGGTAGCGCACGCGACATTGGGCTATTTGACCGCCGCCAACTTCAGAAATTGTAATGGTGGAAGGCGCTATCGATACATCGGAAAGAATCCACCGCTCTGGTCGAACCTGTAGGTAGATTTTTAGTTGAGATCTATCCTCAAAAGTTAATAAATACGTTATACGGAGCATTCCTCACCTGCGATACTAGCCTGTCTACGGCCTCGTTTAGGATTTCGATCCCTGTCGCACGGGGTACCTGAGTCACTCCGAGGAAATGACACCTAATCACTTTTTTTGGCTCTTCGTTTGGTGTGACTAGGCCATCTGCTAGAGGAAAGGGTAGTCATTAATACTCCTCAAATGTTTCCCATGCAATCAATTTGACTCACTCCGTATAACACGTCTTTCCGGAACTGCATCTATCGCATGCAAGCTGGATGGTCGTCGATGGAGCATCAGTCGCTTACATATGTCTCGAAGAGTATTGGCTATAGTCTTTGCAGGAGTATCGCATCGGAACACATGACACATGAAGCGACGTGAGTTTCGGTCACGAGCTACATAGGCGAAGTCCCTGAATTATAGCTCAAATCATCGACTTTTAATAACTGAAACAACTTTAGGGATTTGCGCTAAGCCATCAAGACAAACACAAAACAACAAACATCTCTAATGCAAATTGGAGGGACTCGTTACTATCAACTCATCTCTAAACAAGCCTCGATCGGTTATTATTTCAAACATTATCAAAGCATTGTTTAGCACTAATTGTTAAAACCACACGCAGTATTATGTTGAAAAGAGAATTTTGTCACATACACGTTTTTTTTTGTCTTTTTTCTTAGCGTCCATTAACAAAATAATGAAATTTATCCATTTAAATAACTACCATTGCTGGATACCACAAAATCACGCCCAATGGATATGTTACGATATCTTTTCATGGGTGCTTGGAAAGATATTAGTCAAGAGTTCGAGACCCCTCGACTAGTATTATGAAAATTGGAAAAACTTTCTCAACCGAAAATCGTTAATTAGATACTGGTGGGGATGGGCTCTTAAGACCCTAAGCCGTTACTTAGCCCTACAATTTTTTGATCGCTCTCTTAAGTGTTAAAGAAAAAAACCTTTCCGAGTTTTCAGTTAAGTAGAGTGAGCCATATCGTTGCCCAACAATAACGGCGGTACCTTTCCTGGACAAGATAGTAGTATGGCATTTTACCAATAATACTGGCGGACCAGAAATCGGGTTATGGACACATGTATGTATCGCTTGTGGTGAATAAACTCATGAGGGATAAAACCTTTACAAAATTTTCTTATATCAACCTGAAGCTCACCGTTTTTAACAACTTCAATTCTAACACACGAACAGCTTTTATCTATAAAATATTTAGGATTATGCAAGTATGATTTGAAATGAATATGGTCAATAAATGTCGTACCCTAACTTCATTCGCTATTTTACACGAGGGACCTATTTCGAAATCAATGAGCATTTTTCGAAATGAGTTCACTGAACCATGACGAATTTCCTCCCCTATGGTAAGAACTCATGGGAATCCACTTGTTTCTTCCACGAACCTTTTTCTTTTCTTCCTTTTTTCTTTTCTTTTGATGTAGTTCGGTGGTAGTTTTACATCAAAACTACCACTGAACAACATCAAAACTACCACGAAAGGGGTGAGAGAACTGAATTACCCAAAAGCCTTAAATACTGAAACCTCATGTTTTTCTATTACAAATTGACAGTTACAAAAAAAAAANNNAAAAAAAACAATCAGTCTTTCCGAAACAAAGTTATTTCTTTATGAGGCCTTCAACGATTCGAAACCACACGATCACTTGCTATGACATTTTAATCAACGAACGAGTCCCCAGCAGCACAACACTGAATACCACCAATCAAAATGTTCCGAAGCATCGGTTAATATTAAAAACCTAACAAATCCATTAGCAACCACTCTTTCAGATTCGAATTTGTTGGAACTCAAAAAAGTGTTCAGCTCAAACTTTCAACAACATTCTAGTTGGTAGTATTATGTACTAACACTAACTAGCTCACCACACCATGACTTACCGATCTCTGAAGAATCAATGAAAAAACATAATTTAGAAAATTTCAAGAAAAAAGCACAACAAAATATTGATATACTTCACATGCATAATAAGATTTTAGTACGCATGAGATTTGTTTGTGCGTTGTCCTATAGATTTCGTGGGAAAATATGCTAACCAAAAGCCCCTTTCACGGTGATTTAAAGCGAAATGATTTTATGAGGGAGGAAACACGAATTTGATCGTTTATAGAAATCACTGAGACAAAACAATTACAGCTCAAAAAATTGACCAATGCCCTTTATTTCATTAGTAACTTTCATTGGTGGTAACTACCAATAAACACATCTTTAGGGCTTCATGAAACAAAAGAAGGTGGCGTAAAACGCACCTGCCGTTATCCCTACCAACGCCCCAAACACGAATCTGCTGAATTTTCTCTGAGTGTACCACCGTCATCGTATCGGGATCGATTAATGATAGCTCGTTGTCATCGAGCTCCATAATGAGTTCACGACCCTGGAATCGAGGGAAAATGAATTCACTTGAAATGAATTTGATGTTATCTCGTATGCTTCGAGGAAATACGCTGCATCGTGAAGCTGTACAGCAAGGATGCTCTCACTGGAAGAGAAACTCACATCTCCCCATTTGCTCACGTTATCCATAACATCATTACGTCCTGTAGACAAATCAACAATTGCTCTGAAACAGTGGGTTGATTCAAAGGACTCAAAATCAAATGGTCAATCCAATATAGTAAATGGTCTGACCCCCAGTAACCCTCATATTTGCAGAAATTCTCAAATGCCAACGAGAATGCGAGTACAAACGAGCGCGGGCTCATCGAGAAACGACTCCTTCAACTCATTTAAAAGGAACAAATGTGATGACCCGATAAAAAGGTATATTTGCGTGGATGCGCTTCGTTGCGCGCATCCGTAGAAACTAGGTCATGCCGCAGCCATCGCATGCGGTGGGTCAGCCCGCGATCTTTGACAAACGTCGCAGTTGTCAGCGGAGCATACGAATTGCGCTCGGTCCACGACAGTGAGTCAAAGAGAAGATAACACGAACAAATGCAAATCATCCGCTCCACCGATACTTGGTGGTACTGTAGTGTCGTCTCGAGAACTCAGTGGGGTGTACCGCGCGCGAAATGGGCGGGGTGACCTACTTTCGACGGACGCGCGCAACGGACGTTCTCCATATTTGCGTAGTTGGCAACAAGCAGTTGTAAAATAATACTTTCAAAGACCGTGTGAAGCCACTACTCGAAAATGAGATTCTGATAACCAACCTATTCACAGCTCGCGAACTCCGTTCAGCTGTCAAATCTTCTTCAGCAATTTCAGTCCAGCCCAGTGAGCGCACGGCAAACCGAATTGGCTAGAAAATAGGCAATATATCATACAAGAACTTCATTAGGTATGGAGAAGACTAGAAAGGTGAATAGAATCCCTTCGAATTAAAATGAGGGGATGGATATCCTAAATTTTTGATTCCTCCTCTAGGTTGCGATGTTTTTCGAAATGAAAAAGTCCAAATATCAAACCTCACCATCAGAGAAGGTCTAATAAACAAAAGAAGGCCTGTGAGTGACGTAGAAGTCATCGAATAACACCAGAGAATTGGAACTTATTCTAATGTGTAGAATCTCTGCAGGCGATAGAATTCAGCATGGTATCGAAACCAATTTAACACCTCGAATAAGCGTAAAACAACGGTATAAGGGAAATCTTGGAGAAAGTTCTGGCACTCATCAACGACCTGATCATTTTAGCAATGTGCGAGAGCACATACAACAAATTCAGTGATTAACATTTTTAAGCCCATGAGGCGCTACCATGAAGTAAGGCACAGACTGAGCCTATGCAGTAGTCAAAAACTCCTACCCATGATCTCACTCATTCCAAAATTCCGACTCCTTTTATTTACTCTCGAAGATGGATTAAGCTTGAGCAGTGGGGAGGGAGCGGGAAGAAATTTTGCTTGATATCGCGTTTCATTATCCATGCACAGCTAAAGATGGTTAACGAGAAAGTCAATGCATATTGATCCACTGAATAGTAGCGTTGGCTTACAATTTTTGGGGGACAGCATCCAAGGTTCATATCAACCCCAGAACTTTCAGTGTATCATATTCATCACTGCTGAAGAGGTACATTTAGCACAAGCACGTATTGGAGCGAGGTGTTTTTAGGAGCAAAAATAAAATGTCAACGGAATTCGACGAAGTTGCTCCATCTTTGTGTAAATGAGAGCGTCGAAACCTGTAAGTGGTAATCCAATAGCATACTTAAGGCTGGATAAACTCGGTGACGAGCAAGACAAATACGGTTTTTCTAACACCAAAGCATCGTATCCATCGGGAAAACATTTTTAAACGTTCGCTATAGCCATATTCCATTTCTAATAACGAAATAGTTGAAAATGGTTCCCAGAAATCCTCTTCGGCACCATTGCTGCAGAAGAACAGCCATCCCCAGATGTCAATTCCCTGGGCTACGAATGGCGGAAGGAATAATTGGAAAAGCCGTATAAAGAAGGAACTTTTATTGCTGTGAATAAATTTAGTAGGAAGCACAAAAAATTGAAATTCGACTTCCAGCAACACAAGGCCCATTTACCTAGTCGGAGTAAGAATAAATCAAACTGGACTTGTTTGAGCGAAAAATAAATCACTGTCAAATAATAGGATTATATTAGAATTTATAATACAGCACCACAAAGACAGGCAATCATGGCAAAACTGAAAAGGAACACCCTGCATCAGTAATAAGAATGACAGTTTTTTTTGATCCCAGAAGTAACAAGAGCACATCGCTCATAGCTGGAAGAAGGGAGCAGCCAATATGCCATAGTTCGAGTTCAGTCTTTCACTGCCCTCCTAGGCGAGATGATCTATTGTCGCCCAAAGCGACGGCGTATGTAGAGGAATTCAGAGGAAAAACAAGCGACCGGTGACAGTTAAGAAAGAAGGCCGTTAACGGTAGCTAGACTTCTTATGAAAGGAGGCTGTAGTATGCGGCCTTACATGTATAAGCGGTTACACACATATGTCGGGCAAATAATCCGCAATACATCACTTCCTTCGTCTTCCAGCAATTGAAGTCGGCGCGAGCGCTTCTCCGAGCATTATGTAATCTCATTGGAAGGCATATGCTACATCGAGAAGAGGAATAGCATACTTCAACGACGTCGCGGCCACCACTACGTATTCCACTGATCGACGACGATAAGCGAGCATCAAATGAAGCGCTTAGGAAATAACGACACCGTAGGATTAATCATTCGCAAAAAGATGTAGAAGGATCAATGGAGTTAGGCGTTCACAAAAACCGCTGCCCAGCGATTTGGTAACTATGAGAGCGTAATAGAAAAGACCAAGTTTGCAAAGGAGAAAAGAAAAGAATAAAGGGCTCGTGAAAAAGATTTCCTTTCAAATATGAGCAATCGCTGTGCGATTCGAAAACGTCCAATAAAAGAAGGAACCCATGGAATATCTTTTATGTCCACTTGAACACAACCACTCTTTACAGATATGCTTCCGCAATTCAGGATCATAAAGAGAGTGCCGCGTACATGATATCTTTTTCTATCTCACGTGCAAGAAGCAAGAGTGTTTTATCGAAGTAACGGCAGAACAAAGCGAACAGTTTTCAAATCCCGAATCATAAAAGTATATCGAAGAACTAGAACCTGGAAAAACTGCGAAGTCAAATGGGAACTAGTTTTTATCTCCACCTGCCGCCAATCACGTAAGCCGAAAACCTATTTCATAGACGCCGTAGAATGCGAATGAGCTGTCCATGTGTGTTTGAAAATGACTCTTTTGCTTTCGTAGTTGGCCTTCTGTGCATGTGTCCTCCATCACGATCAGGTTATACGAGTCATTGCAATCTTGCAAATGAGAATGAATCGGCGACCTAATGTTGGACCACTACTCCACGCCCACTCTTCTCTTTGTACCTCAATTCCATGAACTTAAATTATTATCAAACCTTCAACTCTACTAAAAGGTCAACCTCAGACCAGTAAAGACATCGAGAAAAAACTCATCGCATTCCTTGAACCAAATGACACATTCAAAGGAGGCTTCCGTGACCTGCCCCACCTTGTCACAAGGCAATCAATGTCAATGTGTGTGTATTACATATGTGTCCAAATGTCAAAGTTGTTTCAATAAAACAGTTTCGCTCTTCCAATATTGTGTTGTATTAAACTTTTTGTTTTGGATATTAGAGGGCGTCTGTACTTACCTATGAGAAACACCTCGACGGCCGAAAGAAACCCATACAAACTGAGGTAGTGACAAATGGGATTAGTTTTAGCTCAAAAAGAGAATATGGAAAGAAGCACTACAAGCCGAAATGTTCAAAATGCAGTATTAACGAAAACGTTAAACGCATGAAGTTAAGCCAGTTCAGGTAATACCACAAGCAATACGGTTCTAAGAAATTCCGCCTATGAAAATGAGCCAATAGCCCACCATCAAGATCTACGCCACATCATCTTGTCCCGGGAGTGGAAAAAAAAGTATGAAGTATGAGGTACATGCAAGGGACTGTAGCCAAAAACAGTAATTACCTTGCGGAATCCGTATTCTTCTTCACCATCACTTTCCTGGCTATTCTCAATTCGCCGTTTCGTCGTTGTTTGCTTGAATGCATGCTCCTCTATGACAGGCTGATGAGGTGGGAGCTGTATCACCTATAAGTAAGATGTCACATTTCAGCAAATAATTAGAAAGGCATTCATTTGATGTAGCATGGGTTCAACTTTATGAGTACGGAAAAACTAATGCTAACTTAATGTATATAATTGGCTGGATTTGAGATGTGTAGAAGTGCTTCTATCATGAAATTTATATCAAACCCACACTGAGTCGAAGCTTAATTGGATTGTGATGGAAAGATTGCGATTGGTCAATAGAACCTGCTCAAAATCGACTTGTATTGTATTGGTAGAGCAGGAAAGGGAAGGCATGGGTCAATAGATGGTGTCGATCATACTCTGGACTTTTCAACGGGGTTGGCGGAATCATAGTTTGTTGCGGTATCTCAAAGCCGTGCATAGTAATTTGAGCAGCCGATACAGGATAAACGGTTACGTTGGGGTTCCCTATGAACTCTCAAACGAACAGAAAACATAGATGCATTCACGCAAGACGCAGCTACAAAAGATAACTTTAAAGTCTCGGTTGCCAAATTGTACTGCTTCCAAGAAAGCACTCAATGGCATCAAGAACAGTGGGTCGAATGATGTTCGCATTGTGCTTAAGACTCTACATTGTAATCATTATGTAAATAAGATTCGGAAAAGGTAATGTGAAAATTACCTGTGGTGGTGGTGGGGCATCTGCTTGAGTTTCGCGGCTCTAAAATTTCATCTCATAAAAAAGACTGAACAAATGGCAATTTGTGAAAAAAAACTGAAAGATTGTTATTAGATTGAATTGTTATCGAATTATGAGGAGCGAACCCAAAAAATACTAGGCAGAGTGGTTTTCATAGATAAATGCAGTCAATTCACCTCGAACTTTGAAAACAAAAGGCTAAGCAAGCGTGTTCACATTACTCACATAAGTTGTCCTAGAATAAATTGGTGGTGGAGGTGAAGGACTGCGCGGTGGAGTTTGAGCGCGCTACAATACAAAGTGTTATCACTATACGTGATAAAAGCTCATATAAAAAATAAATATAAAAATGAAATATAGCATATATTTGTAAATAAATAAATGAAAAAATAATGATGAATGAAAGTAATGATAATGTGATGAAATTGACGATAAATGAAATATAATGAAAAAAGCGGCAGACTAAACGCCAGACTTGAAACGACCATCTTTGTTCCCTTTGTTTTACTCTATAACTTTCGATAATTTTGTAAAACTCTATATCAGTGGATATGGTTTCGCAGACGTCTTCACTTCTCATCGACTCACTCAAACCTTAGTTTGCGGTAATAGTTTGCCCCAGAGCATTGCTAGTAAGCGATTTTCTTTTAAGAAAAGTATACGATAAATTGGTTTTGAGGACATCGGTTTTGGAAATCAGCCAAAAGACGTCAAAAACTTGTGAGTTTCAATAGAGTTCTAGCCATAAGTGCACTCGACAACTCCAATTTATATACAGTTGCTGCGAGCTCACAATCTTGGGAGATTATTGGTTCGAGGTGATACGCAAAGAATTCAGCTTTTTATGCATCTACAACTCTGAGAGTCATAAGAGTCCAGGTATCAGCCCCAACCCACAGTAATATATATATATATATATATATATATATATATATATATAGCACGAAAAACTGTTATGAATCATGAACTTTCTCAGTTTCGAAAACATTCACTAATGACATGTTTCATTGAAGTTGGAGAAGCGAAGAAATGTTATCCTTGCAGAACAAGTATGGGTACAAATTTAATAAAGGAAAACTTCAGAGGAGTATATGCGATGAAATTCAATAACGAACCGGCGGCTCCCGCTGAATCGTTCCGCTATCCACGTGCCAATAGTAGGAGAAGCCAGATGGATCTAAGCAACTCAAAATAAGACCAATTCCAGTTTTCAGATACATTTTGTCTATTAACTCGAAGCAGAAGAAATGTTTCAATGAACGTATTGAAATTGGACAATGTCCCATAATCAAGTTAAATGTGGATTAAGTCAAAACAACCTCTTACCTTGGTGCTTTTCCCAGCCAGGTGGTAACTGTTTCGGCTCTTCTTCAATCGCAGGGGGTGGCGGGTTAACTCGTTGGGGTCGACTGTACTGATTTTCGAATACTACACCAGAATCGTGGGATTCAGGAGAAAGCACGGTCTCTACAACCTGAAAGGAATCTGATGCTCGTTTCATATAGAGAGAGCTCGTGCTGAAGATATAAACAAAAACATTGTAGATTAGCAAAAAAAAAAGATGTTATCAATGCAGTAAACCGAAAATTCATCAACACAAAGTCTTTCGATATTGTACCTCTTGGCAAATGTCTTGCCGTACTTTGAAACATATTATAGGTTTTAAATTAGTCTATCTTTGTTATCATCCTCAGATTAGCATCTCTAACCCCCCTTTCATTCTTGTATTTTTTGGATTAGAAAACTGATCTATTGAAGTGAACACTTTCGGTCACATAATCCAGTTTCGAGAGAGATCTCGATAATGCAACAACACACCTCCTCTTCATCGATTACGTAATCAGTAGGCGGCGGATAGCGTTTGGGCGATTCTGACCGACGTCGTGTCTGCATAACACAAAACGAATTGTAAAAAGTAATTTGTCAATTCCAGTGTAATGTGCCATACCTGATCAAGTTGCCAGTAAAAGGAGTATGGATCCCGATGTTCCGTCATGATAGTTGTGTCCCCTTGCTGACGAATGCGTACCCCTGCAAAAGTATGGGCTTGGTAGTCCGGTAGGGAAGTTCATTTTCTTGAATTTGCCAGAGCGGGCAATCTAACGTTTCAGCAATCCATTTCGCAACATCGCAGTTATGATTGAGAATTCTATGCTTCTCAACCGCAACTATTAAAAAGCATGCAATTAAGAATCATTATCTCTTTGACTGAACATGTAATTCAAAGTAAGATCTTCAATAGAATGGCGATATACCACAGTAAGACTACTTCTGTGTAGTGCGTAGAGAATTAAGCCAAGGTTTGGTACACACCACGTTGGCCTACCCTACGCACGAAGAATGGCAAAAAAAGGAGGTATCCCAACCTTCCCGTGATGCAACACCATCTCGAGCTGCAGCATCAATTGCGGCTAGCGACTGACGGAAATCCTGCGAAGAGTAGTCTACTGCCATACCGTCGCGACGCGACTCCTCCCGACGATGTTCGTATTCTAAAGAAAAAGGCTGAGACCATACGTACTTTATTAAGAAAAAGATAAAAAAGTTGCGTGAAGGAAAGTAACAGCTCCATGATTTCTTATTGATTCTGCTGTAGAATGTAGAAGGAGCTGTTGTTAACAAGAACTTGAAGTCAGAAATGTCAAGGGATGGGAGCAGGTTCAGAGGATCATTATGCTCAATATCCCTGACTGTATTTGTTCGAATCTCCCGGAAACTACTACACAGATCTTTCTTTGGAAGACACTAGTAATTTAATTAGGATTCTGAAGGCACACTCTGATATGTGTATTGGGACCCGTATTTGACTCTTCTCAGTTTACAAGAGACCAATTAAATAAGGATAAAACTCCCATCAGGAGCGAAATGTGGCACCCTTAGGGAAAACAGGAACCACTGCAGCAATGTCATTTTCGAGGGCACGAAGGGTTTATGGCATATTTCAAGCGGTCAATGCAGAAAACTTGTTTCATACTCTAGTAATCAAAGCGCCAACGTGAGCAAAACTGACCCCGCCTTGAACTATAATCGTCCCGTTTTGAACTGTAGTCGTCTCGTCTACTGTGATCACGGCGTCTACTGAAGTCGTCCAGTCCACCGTAATCGCGACGTTTTGTAACTATACGCTCGTTGTACGTACGTGTTTCTTCTTCAATATATTCCTCTTCCACCTCGTCCTCGTCCTCTTCGTACAATTTAGTACGATAATCGGACGAGTACTCCCGTTGGTCCTGAATATTTTGAATATTACAATACTACATATCTCAAAATAATATATAATGAATATCGAAGAACGAATAAAATGAGTTTGTGAAAAACAGCGAAGTGAATCAGTTTTATCAGTGAGAAAAAAAGTGGAATACGCCTGACTGGAGGACAACTGGTAAAATGAATACTAGCAAAAGATATAGAGCCATTGACCTGAACCTCCCAAGCAAACTTGGAACAGTAGATAAGGTTTAATGGTGCCTCATCGTGATCGAAGTGTTGATCGGATCAGATCATCGGAGCTACAGTAATTGATTATGGCACCGGAGCGCGGATTTTGTTTTAGGGCGCAGAAACCGTAATTCACCATCGTTGTTACTGTATTATATGGTGAAGAAGATTTTGAAAATTAAAATTACCCTTTATTGACATGTCATGGAAACATATCTAATCAACAGAAAATGAGTGTAGAAGTCTTTCCAAGGGTTGCATTTGAAATATTATAGATATTGGAGTTTCGATGAGTTGAAGTAGTAAGTCTTTGCGAAAACACATGTGCCGCTAGTTGAGGACTGATTTTCTCAGAAACGCGTTACAAAGTCTTCAAGAATTGTTTTTGAAGGAGCTCAGATTGTAATTATAGTGATGACGCCAAAATCGGCGTCGGCGTTGGGCATCGTCATCGATCGATACTGCGAAAGTGACTGCTATTGTATTGAGTAACTCTAGAGTGGCAAAAATGTCTCTGGTATTGGTATTGTTGGGGGTGTGGTGCAGTAGGAACGAAATTGTCGCGTCGCGGCGAGAGGGACGCCGCGCGCCTAGGAACATAGCAGAACGCAGCAGCAGGTAAGAAACACAGGAACAAAAGAACTAACAGTAGAATCATGCCTAAAATGAGGATCGCTTATCGATTGAGCTGTATGAAGAACGCTAGAGTTGTAGTAACGGCGAACGAATGGTCCGCGACAGCCGCGTGCGGCGAATCGATTACAGAACATCGTTCCCACTGCCCGTCTCCTCATGTTATCGATCGATGGTAAACGCCGACGCCGACGTACTATGAATGCAACCCCAAACGAGACCTGACTCCTGGTCATGTAGCCAGTATGGCTGAGACTGAGGAGAAGATAAAAGAAAAGTGAATTACATGGTTTGGAGTAATACAATGTTAGACTGAGGTTATCAGTTTTTTTAAAATTTTCTACCTCAACGTCTTTTGACATTTCTGTCACAAACATCATCAGAACCGTCCCCTCTCAATTAACAGCATTGGATTTTAACTGCCGTTTGCACAGAATTTCGTTCAAGCAGGAATTAGTACTGGGAAAAAACGCAGCCCATTAGTGCAAATGAATCATCATTGAAGCGATTTCGACTAAAACGCTTCGTCAGAAAACAGCCAGCCACACAAATGCCATCCAATTTGCTCAGGGGATGAATGTCTGGTGATTCAAACGAAAGAGAACGATCGTTCGGTTACAGATGAGCCGCGCACTCGGCTCCCTTCAGATTTGTAGGATCATTGGAGTTTGGACTAGAGCTACACAGATCGTTCGGCAGGAGACATTCAACTGCTCACAGCAACCCTGTGATTTGGATTGGAAGTTTTACTACCTACATTGAATTGGATCTGACATCTGGGATCCAGACCTTGCCCACAAACATAACGACAGACGAAAACGAGCTGATTTCATTGAGGAGAAAGGAGGAACAGCAGAAAAATGGGAAGAGGAAGCCTCAGAATAGACAACAAAGCTGAAATCTCACGAATAAAGGAGTTTAGGCGAAGGTAAACATGAGTCAAAGGTAAACATCTACGCACCACATGCATTTCCTTCTACTCCTGGAACCTTTACTATCGATTTATTCGTTATTCTTCTCTATCAGGCGGTTTTTTGAAAGCTTCTCTTGAGGCCCAGGGTTCACAAGTAGTTAGGTACAAGTCCCATGGTGGCACACTCGAGAGCAATAATTCGACTGGCTCGCTTGATTACTTTCTTGAAGGCTTGGCCTTAACAAGAAATGCAAAAAGGAAGAGCTGAATATGTGAGCGCAAATGGAAAAAAAGGACGGAAGTACTCGGGCTTCCTGGAGAATGTCATTCAGGGACAGCCGGCGAGCACAACTAGACGCAATAAGCTGGAAACAAACAGCTTTCAGAGGGAATTGAGAAAAATACTGAATGCTCTCCACCTTTGAACTATTCTTTTAGACTAGAACTTGGCATTGATGAAGAGGGCAGAAAACAAGCAGTAGATACCAGTAGGCCAGATAGAACTGAAGAAAAAAAANNNAAAAAAAACTGGGAAAATAGAAGAGGAAAGGCTTTGTTTGAAGTGAATGAATCCTACTGTTTGATGTAGGTGTAGCTTAACGTTATGAGAAGCACAAACACTGATAGGCGGTGATTCGAGGGGATTAGTTCGTCAAGTTGTGCCAGATGCTTAACGGCAGAAGAGCCTTGGAGGAGGAGGAGGAGGAGAAGGTGAAACCGGCTGGCAGCAGCCTGTCGATCCCGCCTGTGCTCTCGTGGAGTGCCAGCGCAAAGTGGTAAAACATCACAGCTGCACACACACACCCGACGGACGACATAACGAAGACGATAGCGCCCCGCTCACACTCACGCACGTAAAGTGGCTGGCATCAACGACAATGAGAAAAAAGACAGAATACACAGTCACAATCACGGGGAATGCTGATTGTTTCTGCCTGACGGGAAGCAGACTGGAACGTAAACTTTGTACTAACAACAGCAAGTACAAGTACGATTTCCCGTCGCAAGGTATAAACACAATTAAGCTGAAGGGGTATTCCAGAGCAGCCTACGAAAAGGTGAACGTATGGATCACAACATGCTTACGACTTTATAAGAAAAAGGCCAGTGAACGGAAGATAAAGTTGGTACTATCAATCTCGGAGGGTCAGTTAGGCAATACCCACAGTGGATGGGAAGTTTTTTGGAAAAGTTAGGAGGGTCTTCGGAATCTCCGGTAACGTACAGCTTCACAGATGTGTCTTTATGACAACCACACAATATGAATAGTGGATGCTGATAATCATATGCGATTATATTGATACAGTTACACCTTTCCATAAAGCTATGCTAAAGGAAGTAGTACAAGGTGGGTTCCTTGTTTGAAGTTCTGCAAAGAGTACCGGCTACTTCGGCATCTCATAACACAATTAAAATCCCTCTGAATATTTGCTTAAGCCCTTGATTTAATGAGGTACTTTGATTTTTCTCATTGTAAATGTATATAAATTTTTGTAGATATTGTAATTGATGTACAATATGTATATTTTCAAATTGAAACGAATAACTCGGAAAATGTCTTATGCGCCATACACCGAAATATTTCATGTGTTATTCAAAATGGGTTCATAAAATTAGAGAGAAGATGAAGCAATGGGTTTTCTTCCATATCTCTACCTCTCTCCTCCTACGTCTCTTTCTGATCCTCTTTCTCTTTCTTTTCGTCCTTCTTTCTTTCTTTTTCTTTCTTTCTTTCTTTCTTTCTTTCTTTCTTTCTTTCTTTCTTTCTTTCTTTCTTTCTTTCTCTATTTTCTTTCTCTTTCCCTTTCTCTATTTCCTTCTTTCTCTCACTCTCTGATTGAACCTTTCCTCTTTATCAGCCAAAAGAACTTCATATGCACTCGTGATCTGCTCCTATATACTTAGCGTTCAGTTCTTCGCATTTCGATTCCATCATCAACTTTTAAAAGAACGATAAACACATAAGATACAACTCATAACATTACATCAGTTAATCATAAATACTTTGTGTGATTCAACGAGATATCTAGCCAGCAAGCTTTCGTCTCCCATAAGCAGTGCAAGCCTACTCACTTTAGAAAGCTGATCTTCAAAAGCGCCTCTAGCTCGGTCTGCAGCTTTCTCGTGTACCGGGAGATGCGAGATACTTGGCAAATGCCACGGGAAACTCATTCTGACGCACAAAAGTGTACCGCCAAAAAACTGACGTAACAGGACACACCCAGTCTTGAAAGATCAGGAAAATAAAAATGCTTCCTGGTCAATGCATAGCTGGGATCGAGCTGGGCACAAAGCTTCACTCAATCCCGTCATATAAAGGACACCTGCGTTCCCAATTAGAACGACATCTCGAGCAAACGCCGGAGACTACGTGAGAGGCCTAAAGTGCCCATGCACTACTACCCTAATAGCATGACAATTAACTGCAGGCCGATGCTGATCAATGAGGCATTCCTAGAGAGCCCGAGTG